TTTTTCTATCATATATAGGAAACATGCTGTTCGAAAGCGCGTCTGAAATTGAATAAGACACTGTGGAGTGTAGCTACGTCATTGTAAGTGAAGAGAGAAATTCACAGCAAAGTAATATCACTGCAGCTGCAGCAGGTGCCAAACTGGGGTGACCCACAGCCAGACTCCGGGGAAAAAATGACCAAGTTAGCAGAGACTACAACACATTCAGCTGCTTCAAGTCTACTGTAAAACAGCACAAGTGTAGTAACTCGCCAATTATTTCCACAGCTGTGTATGAACTTGCCTGGTAACTGCCTGATTATTATAACTGAAAGTAACAATACAGTGACATAGTTAGCTTAGCCAGCTGCTGTTACAGTCACACTGGGAGTGCATGTTCTGACATGATTTAGCCACAAGCACAGAGGGTAATGGTTTCAATCCTTACTGTACTGCTATCTAAGATTCACAACAGAAAAGTAGAAAGAAAGGCCAAATCAGCATCTGTTTGTAATTCCCTCTTCTCTGCTGCGCAACATACCTTTATGATCTAAATCTAATTTTGTTTCCCAGAACTCTAATTTCTTGTCCTTGTTTTTCATGTAGCTGTCTCAGCCAACACTAAAATCAGTAGCTTGCTAACCTGGGACTATGTCAGTAGAACTGGAGTGTGTTCACATATTGATTGACGGCCATGAGCTCCCACCCCTGAGGGTGGACTTCTCTAATTGGTTAAGAGTGCCATCCTGGTCCAAAACCTTTAGAAAGGAATATCTCTGCACTGCTGCCAGGCTGTTTGCTGGGTCTGGGTCAATGGAGCCTTCAGCAGCAACTCTCCCCACTGAAATAGGGAAATGTGAAAATACTTACGTACTGAGCCTTTAACTTTCACTTGTCCACAAAAACATCAAAATGGCTGACGTTTACTTGCAAATTTATGTTCACAATATTGTGCATATGGCTGTGCCTGTGTGTGTCCTGAGACAGAGAGTGGATTGAGGACAGCGTGTGTGTGGGTGAGTGGGGTTAGACAAGGCCGCACTTGGAGCCACAACACTGCCACAGCAAACAAGAGGGAGACCAAACTACCAGCCCAGCCCGCACACACACACTCTCACTGCATGACAGCACTGTTGTGGCAGAGGGAGACCGTGTGTGTGTTGTAAGTGTGTGGGGTGGTTATCTGGGTTTCCTCCAGAGAGTGAAACAAATGCAGTGAGGGAGATTCACTTCCCTGTTGGGACAGACAGATGATATTGACACAGTCTGTCACAATAAGAGGCAGACTGAGCCAAAATTTTTACCCTCCAAGATGAAGAGTTTTCTGACTTCATGTGACTTTTAATCACAAGATGCATTTTGCTTGTAAGTGAGTAATAAATGACAGCAAATTCAAATATGTATGAATCCCGCAATGAAGCATTTCCAGCTTCAGACCAAGGGAACAAGCCGTCATTTCACTCTTATGAAAACAGATGTAACAGGTTGTAGAAGTTGTTACCATTGTATGCAGATGACACTCGTCTAAATTTAAAAATGGGAGTAAGACAAAACACAGAACACACTGTGTGTGTGTGTGTGTGTGTGTGTGTAGTAAATGCACCTTTAGCTCGAGTCATCTCATTGAGTTGTTCTCATGATAATAGTGTTATGTTTCAGCTCAGGTGAATGGCACCTCACTCACAAAAGTTTAAAAGGTTTGCCTGTGTGTTTGTAACTTGTCTGCATATGTGCATTTAAGCATCTGTGTGTATTTCTCTGTTAAAACTGCCCTGAGTATTGTGACCTCACCTACAAGTGCTTGTGCATCTTGTCAGGTGTTTGTCAAATGTAGGAGCACCGACCGCACTGTTTACACACAGCGCCTTGGTGCGACCTCGGAGGTTGCCGGTGGCCGTGATTGGCCGCCAGCGACCAGCTCATTAAGGCCACTCACATAGGGACACTGTGCCAGAAGACACACTCTCCATTTGTTTCACAACATATGGACACAGTCACACACACTTGTCAGAGGGACACCGCAGGTATGGCAGGCAGCCATGTGCACATGCCCACTTCTGCATGCGCACAAACACTTGATAGCAGAGAGTCTCTCTGGCCCCTGTGACCTGGCTGAACTTTGGCTCACCCTTATTGGTTCACTGCACCACACAACCTCACACTTAGATGCCTATTAGCTGCTGGACCAAACCAGAGGGTCATGACTCACAATAAAAGAGAGGACGAGTGGCGAGGAGAGGACAAGAAGGAATCATTTGGAGGAATATACTTTTTTTTTTTTATAATAGATGAGATCGAAGGACAGGAGAAAAGAAAATCAGAACAAGGAGGATAATGGCATAGTTGAGAAGAAAGGAGAAGAATAACGATGCACTTTGTGCTGCAGTTTGGTGAAAGTCATAAAATGTCAACTTTAGAGGAACTAAGACAAACTGATGTCTTGATGACAATGTATTTTTGATAGTATCCAGTGGGTATTGAAAAACCTTTGTCAGCAAAATGCAAACTTTATCAGTTTGCAAAAGAGCATGTGAGGACAGAAGAAGGATCATTTCTGTTTGTTATAACTCAGGGCTTCCTTTCATTCCTGCCACTAATACTGTAATACCATTGCATTACCTGAAAAAGACTCAGTCCTAATTTGTCCAACCTTTATGAACAGTCTGATCCACTGTAACTGACTTTACTGTTTACAGTTAACAACATGTCATTGTACTTTTAATCTGTTGCATTGGAACACATTGTTTCTGATTCGTTTTTAACGCTGTGCTTTGTTTACACCGTCAAAACCTTGTTTGCTTTTCGAGCATTGATCAGTGATCGCTTGTTTTTGGAAGATGAAAAACAATGATTTAGATTTGAAAAACAATGTTTCTCCTGAATTTTTATTGGTGATCCTATTCCTTTTCTTCCTCATCCCTAAAACCAGCTACCACTTTAGAACAGTTTGAGGTGTTTATGTGTTCAGTTTCAAAGCTTAGCATTTTTTCAGGTGCCACTGGTGATACTGTGTGTAGGTCCCAGTTAGGGTGTGTACCAGAAACACTGTGTCATATTGCTGTAGAACAGTATAATAGAATTATACTATTAAAAACAGTGACATTTCTCATGTGTGTCCCATCAGATTATCCAGTGAATTTGAATGTTTGATCTAATGAAATCACACGTTTGGGTTTTTCAGATGACAATAGTGACTTACAGTCTATCTCCATGTCAGATTTCTGACATATTCACATAGTCTTAAAGTGTGCATATTTGTGTGTTTATGGGCCTTTATGCACTTTGAGGCCTGGGAAAATACATGCTGAGCCATCATTTTCAAAGAGAACCTGCTGACTGAATTAGCTTTGCAGGGGAAACCCTGCTGCACAACAGGCTGGCATTTAGACTCCCACTTGAGCTTAAATTATCTTTGACAAATCTGTTTAGCGCCGTCTGCTTCTATATATTCGCTGTGATGTTTGAGCTCACTCCACCCTAACTAGGCCTTTTCCCTTTTTCTTCACATCCTACTCTCATTCATCTTCTGCCCATTCCTGAACCGACACCCCACACCCGCTCCCTCGTCTCTCTTTCACCATACGATACTTCTGTGTTGATATGTCCGTCTGTGAGTTGTTATAGCAACCAGACATTTCTGCTGACCCCCGCCTTGCTTTGCGTGACAGAGCTGCAGGACGGCCTGTCACGGGTAAAGATCATCAGACAGGTCTACCGTGCGAGTGCATGCACACTGCTAGACCTGTACACACCCTTCAAATGCACATGCACACATATTCATGCATTTAATGTACATGTCAATTTAACGCAATCACACAACGTACTGTCAACCACGAAAACACTAAGATCTGAAACGAGCAGCGATGACTAGAAACTATATATTTAATGTTTTTATTTTAATATTAAAAATAACATTCATAACAGTAACAGTTGGACAACCAATAATTATATTCTGAGACATGTTTACAACAACAATTACACTTGAGAACCTCTTCTTTTAAAAATAAGTTAAGAAATAAAGCTTTTTCTCACAGAAATAATCTTCTAAATGCATTTATACATACAGTGCTGCCTACAACTGGCTCACAGCAATCTCTAAAAGCCGGCTCTTGAAGAGTTGCTTTAATGTGACTATTCATAGCAGGTTATCTAGGAAGCAGTTTGGTTGTTATTCCTTATTTGATCGGGCAGTAGTACAAAAAAGAGCAGGTTATCGATATTTCCAGTACATTTAGCTACAGTATATATCAGAGCACTTTCTCTAAAGTCATTGCATGATCAGTGTACGGCTACTCGTGTGAGATACAGTTAGACATTGTGGGATAACAGTAATGTTTGGCACTGGGGCCTCAGCTGCACGCTCCAGGTTCCAGTTTTCATCCCAGTGTAGAAATCCAGTTCCCCACATCTCCAGTTTTAACCGGAGCTCAACATTTAGCCCCGAGTAGTCCAAGTCACAGTCAGGTTCTCCCTGTTTGCTGAACAATCAGTAGTTATGCTAGAGGCAAAAGTGTTAAAGTAGCCAATCAATGGCTACCAACTGCAACTACAGACCAACAGTCTGAGCATCTGATGAGCTTCCACGGATTCACGTTTATGGGAAGTGTGGTTCAAACAGATGAAATCCAGTGTTTAGTGTGACAAATACTCTCCAGTCCAAAGAGTTCAGAAGATTGCACTTTTATTAAAGCCATGAAGCTGGATGCTCTGTGGCAGATCTAGGGCAGGAAAGGTAACTTTCTCTGAAGGTGTCCATTGAAAACAGAAAGAGTGCCCACCACCTCTGTTAGTTCCTTAGACTCCATCCACAGAGTCAGCTGCCCTACATTCAAGAATCTTGTCTCTTTGTATTCCTTTGGCGCAACAAGTCAAAAGCTTTTGGGGAGCTTTACCATTTCCTGCAAGAAAGAAAGATTTATTAGATAAACATGTCAAAGCTTTTTGCACAAATGATTTTAATATCTTCATGATGCTGCCTGCTGCTTCAGGTTACCAGGTTGGGATTATCTCCCCTCACTTCATTCCTCTGGCTTCCTCTTTCCTATTACCTGCAGCTCTAGATGATGATGGCTCTGATGGATGCTTTGCTGATGCGTTTGCGGTGCTTCCTCCTGCGACGAGGTGAGACTGGATTGAGTGAGGCCTGACGGGCTGAGGGTGAGATGGGAGCCACAGTCAAGAGGCCTGGGAGAGACAGAAAGACAGCAGAGGACACAATAAAACAAAAGCAAGTGAGTCGCTGAGTTTTGAACTTTATTTGTAGCTACTTTACGATTCAGTGCTGGTTTGCTTTTATCATATTCGTTCCTTTACCAAATTGTTTTATTTACCTAAACATAGAAAAACAAGTAATGCTGATGTGTCTACCTATCTTATGTGGATTATTTTGGAATGCAAGAAGAAACAACTTATTTTAATAAGAGAACTCAGTATTGTCACCATAAATAACAGATATAGAGAAGAAAAATAATAGAAAAACACATGAACTCATATGAACAAATAAAAAAGGCAAAGGCCAATACTAAAGGAATAGTATGAAGTGTATAGCACCAGTGCAGGACTAACAGGAGAACTGAACACTCTGAAGGACATGTGATAACCTTGAAGCTGTGACTGCCTGCAGAGTTGTTAAGGTGTCAGGAATAATAGCAACATGACATGTGGTCATGTTTAGTTTTTTCTCTTTTTGTAATTTAATGTGTGTTGAACTTTTTGAACATGTTAACACATAAAAAAACATAAACTCGCCTCCCACCCTGCCAATCCTCCCCACCCTACCCTGTGCATGGGTGTCATAGCAAAAGAAAGAAAACAAAAACAAGCATATAACCACACATTTATAAGTGTTACAGTAAGCTTATAGTGTTTATCCAGAACTCAACTGCTTCAGGAGAACATCCTGGCAACTGAGAGCCCCTGAAACAGAATTTCTAACCGAGCACACTGAGCCACTTCTGTCTGGGAAAGTCTCACACTGATTATCTCATAACCTAAAATGTGAAGTACAACACATGCTCTAGCTCACAGACAACACACACAGTTGCTGGAGTATAGCAGGAGTGCTAGTAGTTATACTTCCCTTTATCTGTCCTTCAGTATATTTGACAAGGGCAGCAACTCCTCCACCTTGTATCAGTGTTTCCTGTGTTCACTGCTACACAATTTTCCAAGCTACTCCTTTTTGGCCAGTGTTGTAGTCACCACAAGTCCAAGTTAAGTCTCGAGTCCCCAGTGTTCAAGTTTGAGTCACCAAGGAATAGTCAGAGTTGAGTCCCCATTAGCCCAGGTCATCATGGTCCACATTAAACACAACAGACACAGCTCTCGCCATTTTAAAAGCAGTTTACTTACTTAATAGCCAAGCAAATGCACACACACACACACTACTTAGAAATGAATAGTGTCAGTATCTTATGCCAAATTATTATGGCCTATTACAAAAAAAGTCTGAATGCACTCAATGCTCAAGTCCAGGTCAAGTCATGATGCGCATCATCTGTGAGTACTTGTATACACAAAGTTGTCGTCCTTTCAGTGCATTGATTTTGTTTACTTAAAAGCCTGATGTGATTTTAGATCATGTACTGTAAGTTACAGGTATACAACTGTTTAGAATTACTATTTTATTCTCGAAGCACGTGACTTGCTTATGAAATGTGCATATTTCTATTTTTTGGTAAGTGGTCATAATTTACAATAAATTATTGTTTTGTTGCTGTGTTTACACGTTTAACTGCATTACATTAGCATTAGTTGTTGGAAAGTGTGTGCCAGTGATTAAAAAGACCTGTCAGTGAACCTAGGAGTGATTATAGGTTCTAGTCCTTTGTTCATTCTGTTCTGTATTTTCTTTCAATCCTTTTTTCATTGCAGTGTTGAGAAATGTTTTTCAGGGTTGTGCCTTAAACGCGTTCTACAAGTTACTGTTAATGGAGTAACTATGCAGTATAACTACTTAGATTCACAAGTATGTAACAAAGTACCCACTGCCTTTTAAAGAGAATTTTTGTCTCACACACACATTTTAACACATATGAGCAGTACCTGTGTTAAATGTGGTCGGCTTAGGTTTTTGCTGAGGATGATGTGGATGTAGATGAGTCCGTTTATGCGGTTCCCTCTGTACCATCTCTAGAAGTTTCTGTCTCCTTTCCTCCTCTGTTAATTGGCCATTTCCACTGGTCATTTTAGAGTCCTTTTCCTTCCCCTGATTGGCCCGTTCCACACCAGTCGAGTCCCTGCTATTGGCTGACCCACTTTCCTCCGTCTTGTTCCCTTCTTTTTGGCTGACTGTTTCAGTCTCAGTCAGTTTGCTATTTGTGACCGTTCTATTTTTTTGGCTGGTCACTGAGCCTTTCTGATTGGTGGTTAGAGGAGGGGTGGGCGTTTGTTCTATTTTGGGTGGCTGCGTTGGGCTTCCAGGTGGGGAGGTGCTGTCTGACTGGGGAGCGCTGAGTCGATATTGCGTCCTCAGCTCTTGATCCTCCACTCCTCCCTGGTTGTACTTCTGTGGATGCTGTGGCTGGGGGTGGTG